AAAGTTTTCACATGCGCCGTAGAATCCGTTATCTTTAAACTTGCGCAGTGGGCTTAAATGCACTTCAGACATGCGCAGTAGGGTCAATTGAACTTTTCACATGCGCAGTAGGGTAGAGTGCACTTTAGACATGCGCAGTAAGGTCAATTAAAGTTGTCACATGCGCAGTAGAATCTATTGATATTTAGAGTTGCGCAGTAGAGTTAATTGAATTTTTTACATGCGCAGTAGTGCTGAGTGCACTTGAGACATGCGCAGTAAAATCTGTTGATCTTTAAACTTGCGCAGTATGGTTAAATGCACTTTAGACATGCGCAGTAGGATAAATTGAATTTTTCACATGCGCAGTAGGGTTGATATGTGAAAAGTTTAATTAACCCTACTGCGCAAGTCCAAATATCAATGGACTCTACTGTGCTTGTGAAAAGGTAATTGGACCTGAACAAAATAATAAGATAGTGGACGACACTCTTTAATAAAATAACAAATATTTAAAATACTATTTAAGTAACATGATATTTATTAATATTATAAATTTTAATGTTTAGATTTAATGAATAAAAAAAGTTGCACTTATTGTTTCACAACAAATTGAAGTGTTGATCCACTGACTGCACAATCTATACTGACGCTGACACTTGACAGACTAACGCTCACTCCACATACATTACAGCTGTAACACGCAGGAATTTTAAAACTGATTAAAGGTTCGTCTACAATATCAATGTTACAAGAATAGATAGTCTTGAATATGATTTTCGTAGATGGAACTGCACAAGAACAACCGACGTTGATTAAAGGTGTTTTCACAACACTATTAGGATAAATATTATAGAAGTTCACTTAGTTTTTGTTTAATTAAATTGTTAATTATTTATACTTTTCTTTTAACTTCACTTTAGTTCTTTTGAATGATTTCGAATCTCATTAAAATCCTGAAGGATTAACTTGTTGAGAGGATTAAATAAAACATAATTAAGATTAAATATATATTAATTGTTTTATTCAACAATTTATTTTAAATCTGAGTTCTTCCCTTTTATCCTTAAACTAATAATAAAATTACACTATTCGCCTCAAATTTTAAACTTGGATTTGAGCTTTATCTATATTTTTAAATTCGTGTCAGAGTCAGAACCAAAATCTCTATCTCTGTATCTTGACTTCTCTATAGTATCAGAATAACCCTTTTATTTCTTCCTGACTTTCTTTCTCTCTGGCTAGCAACCTCGATCATCCTCCTTTTATAGCAGTATTCCCACTTTTCTTCCAATCTGAGTCTAAATGTACCAACGAATCCTGCTTCGCAGTGATGACTCACGCTTAACAATTCCTCCAATTAGAGACATGCATTTAGTAATACTCCGCCCCATTTGACCTTGTTTGCCTCATCCCCATGAGTCATATTCTATTTTGGACGTCACTGTGACCTTGTTATTGTCGCGTAGGAGTATGACTCATGCTTGACCTTGTTATTGTCAAGTAGGAGTATGACTCATGCTTGACCTTGTTATTGTCGCGTAGGAGTATGACTCATGCTTGACCTTGTTATTGTCAAGTAGAAGTATGACTCATGCTTGATTTTATATTATGACTCATTCGTGTCTGCATTACATCCTTGAATTGATAATTATCCCTTTATAATTAAACTTCCCTTCAGCTTATTTTAACCCTTTTTACGCTAATTTATTATACAATAACCCTTTATATTTATATTAATTGCAAAATAATTAATTAGTTACAAAATAACAATGTCTAATTGAAAAAACTCAGATTCATTGCAAAAGGACCTTAATTACATTATTTCTTAAGTCCTTTCGACGTCTGCAGCCGATTTCAAAAATAGGTACTCGCATTTACCTGAAACAATCCTTCAGAGGAAAGGGGAAACTGCAGAAAACCCTTCCTAAGTACCCTTTAATCTAATATCATACCTTTATTTGAAACTCTTTTCACTCTTGCATACTTTTATTACTATTGTTTAATTTCTTATTACTTTTATTCTTAAATTCATCTTTTATATATTTATTAATTCTTCTTATAACTATTTTCTTTTTTACATATCTTTCATTCTTATATCTTATCTTTATCTACTCCTTTCTCTATCTTTATTATATATCCCTTTTTTTTACACCTTGCCTTTACTTATCATACATATTTCTCTTTGTCTTTTACACAATTTTCTTATAATTTACCTGTCTCTAACTCTGTTTTTCTTATTTATGTCAATTCATTATTCTTTGTTTCTCTCTCTTTCTCTCCTTCTTAAAATTAAGGCTAGTACTCAGTGCTCTTAAAACAAGATATCAAATTAAATTTAAATATTACGGTACTCTACCCAGCCGTGGGCAGAGGAGCGTTACACAGCACGCACGAAATGCATCTATAAAGCAGCACTCACATGAATGTAATAAAGGTACTTTTATGCGTGCACGAAAATGCGACACACGTTATGAGAGATACAAGCGACTTAAGAGCACGTAACTGCCGGCATTTCATGTACACATGTGAACTCTCAAATGTGACGCATTTTGTGACACCAATATGCGAATTCAATGCACGCAATTAAGGTGCATTAATTCAGACATAAGATGTGACGCCTGACATGCGACTAACGTGAGACGCATGAATGTTATCTGGGATATATTTGATTTAATTTAATTGATAGATTCTCTCAATTCGTGATAAAATATAAATTTTGAGGTTAGGGGTGTTTGTTTACTAATCACATTTTACATTTTAACAACATTATTAAACAATATCTAGTATGCATGTTATTAAAAAAGATATAAAATGTATATTTTAAGTGGGAATTACCGCAGCAGGAAAAGATTTCAAGTTAGTAATCAAACTTTTCTAACCTCAAAATTTATATTTTATCACGAATTTAAAGAATCTATCAATGCAATTGAATCAAATATATAACTAAATTAATTATCAATACACATTTTAATTTTATTATATGTCAAAAAGCATTTTCCATGTTTAAAAAACGAGTAAAATTGATGAAAGAGGAAACAAATTTTCTTCCCCTCAAGAATAACATTGTGTCGTCTGTTTGTTGTCCCTTCAGGCCTCTGACGTCACACCTAGAATCGACTCTGACGTCACAAGTGACAGAGCCTAATTGCAAAATAACCATTTTCCAGGTTAAAAATGGAAAATAACCCTTTTTTCGGGTTAAAATTGAAAAAAAATGTTTTTTAGTAGCTTTTTAAAAATAGAGTAATTTTATATGTATATATCTAAAAATTAGTAAAATATTGCATAAAATGGCAAAATAATCCTTTTTTCGGGTTAAAATTGAAAAAAATTGTTTTTAAGTAACTTTTTATAAATAGAGTAATTTATAGGTATTTATCCAAAAGTTCGTAAAAAATTAAATAAAATTGCAAAATAAGCCTTTTTCGGGTTAAAAATTTAAAATATCCCTTTTATCGGGTTAAAATTTAAAAAAACATATTAAACAAAAAAAGTATGTAATATTTTCTAAAAACCTAGGGCAAAGTATTTTTATTTATTTAAAAATAAGTGAAAATAGATTTTTCATTGACGGTGTCTAGGTCACGGTGTCGGTGTCGCTTTTGGAAATTTGTTAACTTAATATAATAGAAGAAATTTAGGTTTAACCCTTTGCGGCACACATTTTTCATTCCATTCAAAAATACAGATGATCACACCTATAAGGGTTTTTGGGGTCGCTGATTAGGAATCTAAAGTCAGTTTTTAAAAATTCAAAATGGCAGATCCAATATGGCTGACGACTTTCTGAAAATCTAATGCAATTCGCTTGAAACTTGTTAGTCGGGCGTTTTTCGAGATGATTTGGTAGCCTTGAAGAAGGCTGATTGTTATAATTGCTGATTACAAATATGAAGTTTTTTTTAAAAAATTGGAAATGGCGGATCGTAAGTAAAATTTCTTTTTTAGTTGTAATAAGCGGCAAAACAATTTCTTGCTGGCAATAGGCAGAGTGGAACATTGCAAGTTTTATAAATCCAGGATGTTCGCTTTCGGTCAGCTTTTATACTACAATGAGCACATATTGGATACACATTTTGAATTTTTAAAAACTGATTTCAGATTCGTAAACAGCGACCCCAAAAACCCCCGATTAACAATTTTCAAGCGAATTGCATTAAGTTTTGAAAAAGTCGGCCGCCATATTGGATCCGCCTTTTTGAATTGTTAAAAACAGACTTCAGATTCGTAATCAGCGTTCCCAAAAACCTCCGAGTACAAAATATCGGTTCCCTTTTTACCTAAATTTTCGGTAATGAATTTATTTTTCCACAATAATGATTTTTTTACAATTATTTATTTATAAATGTTTATAATATTGCGTAAATATTGTTACTTTTATTTTCGTTTCATTCAATAATATGTTCTCATTCACTTTAAAAAAAATTAATGAATATTGCATAAAAAACTTAAAATATAGTAAGAAAGGTTGGAAATAAAATAGGTGGTAATCTGGGTTACCACTGTGCCGCAAAGGGTTTAAATAAGAAATGTCAAAATTTTTAAGTTAAAAACAATTAAATTAAAATTAGGCACAATATTATAGGTTCGTAAATAAAAATTTGAAAAACAACAATAAATAAAAAAAACATAATAAAATGGTAAAAAATTGTTTTAAAGTAAGTTTTTAAAAATAGAGTAATAATTTTATAGGTATATATCTAAAAGTTCGTAATAAATTGCAAAATAACCCTTTTTTTGAGTTAAAAATGATAATAACCCTTTTTTCGGGTTAAAATTGAAAAAACATATTACAAAAAAAAGTATGTAAGATTTTCTAAAAGCATATGGCAAATTATTTTGATTTATTTGAAAATAAGAGAAAATAGATTTTCCATTGACGGTGTCTAGGTCACGGTGTCGGTTTTGGAAATTTGTTAACTTAATATAATAGAAGATGTTATTAAATAAAATACACTTGTCATTTATAAAATATTGCAAATTTATTACAAGAGGTCAATAATTTTTGTTTGCTCTTCTGCTTTATTTAAACAATAATAGTTTGTCATTGCATTATGTACACTAGACATTGCAATATTAACTTTTTCGCTGTCCAAATTACCGTGTACAAATTGGGCCAATAAGTCGGATGTTTTTAAGGCCTCAGTTACAGTAGGAGTTTCTCTGATGGACTGCTGACGTCATCCAAGCTTTACGATTATTCGTTTAATCTACTGGCAACGATTTATAAACTTTAAAACATCTTGGCTTTTTTGACTTTCCTATCACCAGCAATTTTCTTTTTATTGTGCCACTCATGCTTGCTGCTACCATTAATGTTAATCTATCCTTTGACATCTTCTCGCCACAAGTCTCGCCTTTAATTTAAAGAAGTCGAATTAATGTCTTAATTCATGGTACAATTTAATTAAATGAACGTATAAAAAATGACTCACCATTAAACTTCAAAGTTTTGTCTGGCATCATTTTATAAAATTGTCCAGTTTCATCGGTGTTGAATATGTCATCAGCAAAAAATCTATCACGTAAATTTGGCCACACAGTCGATAACCAATCAGTGACAGTAGTTTTATCAACGATCGCGGTTTCTCCACTTATTTTGCCCTTTACAATATTATGTCTAGTTTTAAATCGACTTATACAACTTAGAGTACACATAAAGTTTATATTCATTTCTTTAGTAAACAAATTAGCTTTCTCCATCAACAAAGAACCACTGATAGGCATTATTTTCTGTCTCATAGCACTAAACCATTGAATTAAACACTTTTTAACAGTCTCCTGCGTTTACTTTCTTATTCGCTTTAAATTCAGAACATTTGAATTAATTTTCGTGTAAAACTAACAAACGATTACTGGTTATATGTAAAACTAAATCGTTGCTGTGGGTTTTAAAACGAGATTTGGCGTTCTCAATAAAGTAAGACTTAAGCATTTTCATAATAAAATGAATTTGAAAACAAACAAGTAATCGCTTCGCCATTATAAGCAGTATAACTTTACAAAATATTTCAAAATAAACTTTAATATAAGCGGTATGTCACTGTAAGCGATGTCATTATAAGCAGACTTAAATACATTGAAATTGTAATGAGACCAAACTTTTCATCAAAATTATGTCACTTTAAGCGGTTGGTCACAGTAAGCAGAGTTATTATAAACGGATTCTACTGTATATGTACGTAAAAAATAATGAATTTACTTTAAAGTAACTTAAAATATTTAATTACAGGTCAGGAGTACAACTTTAATAAATTAACCGAAGAGGAAGTAAATTCACTTGGATTACCGTACGATTATGACTCTATAATGCATTATGCTAAGAACACTTTTTCTAAAGGAACTTATTTGGACACAATTTTACCTATGGAAATGTACGGTAAAAAGAGACCAGAAATTGGACAAAGAATTCGTCTCAGCGAGGGAGATATTGCTCAAACCAATCTTTTGTATAAGTGTTACAGTAAGAAAATTATACTAATTAAGTATGTACATATATATATATAAAAAAGTCTCTAGCACGTCAGGTTAAGGGCCCAGGAAAAAAGGCTTATTAAATGCACAGTTTAGTGAATCAGACATTTTAAGAATGTGGATTCATTATTAATGTTTTCAATCGGAATGTAACATTTTAAATAGGAATTCGTTTCAATAAGTAATTTCCTATTAATGAAAAATTTAATATATATTTGTTTAGACAATTTTGAATCGGATCGAAAAATTTTAGGTTATGACGTCATATCCTGCACAAAATTTAATAATTTTTAATAAACGAGCTTTGTAAATAAATTATACGCTAGAGAGTTAGATTTGCTTAATGCTTTTAAAATTGAAAAGATACATAACACTGTCTCTCAACTTACAGGTAATGAGGAAGAAAAGCTTGAAAAATGTAAATGATTTGAATCGAAGTCAATCAGAGATTTCCTTTTAAGAATGCGGATTCGACACAGCTTCCGATTGATTCCAAAATATTGAATAGGTTTTTTTTCCTGGGGGGAGGTTCCCATTGCGGAGGCCAAAATCAACACAAACTTTCACATTTTTTGCTGGGAACGGTTATGACTTAGTGATGTAGTTTTTTTCTTAAATAAAGGTATATCCTTGAACTTTTAAAATATATATTTCATTTTCAAAAAATTTCAAAATGGCGACCAATATGGCGCATCTAGTAAACAATGTTTTTTTAAATAGGGAAAACGGTGGGCATTCTGCACTGTGCAATTTTGAGTCTAAAACAAAAACTCAAAATTTTTTAGAAAGGTGACATCCTAAAGAATACACACCTGTCTTAAATGAAGAAAAAGTTGGTCCCCGATACTAAAATTAGTTCAAAGTTTTGCAGATGTAGTTGATTTATTTTTAATCTATTTAAAAATGACTTATTACTACAAGTTAAATCGCGCCTGTTGTCATGATTGAAATATAAAAAAATTTGTGCCTTGTGTAATAGAAAAATTGTTTGCAAAGACGGTAATTTAGAAACTTTTTTCATCACAGTAAACCAAGAAAAGATGATCAAAACTTATGAGAATAGAAATTTTTCTTTAAATAATTCAAAATTTTGTATCGAGCATGTGTGTAAATTGTCAAACAATATTATCTGAACTTATCAACGGCAATTCTATCGTTGGAAATTTTAAATTACTTAAAGAAAAACTTTTATTCATAAAAGTTTGGAAGATCTTTTTATGACTTTCTGTGAAGAAAAAAGTTTTTAAATTACCGTCTTTGCAAACAATTTTTTTACCACATAAGGTACAAACTTTCTATTTTAATCATGACAAAACACAATACACAAATACAAATTCCAATAGCAGTAACTAATGTTGCGTATATTAATAAGAATAAGAAGTGATAGAAAATTTGGATAATCTAATGTTTGCATCTGCGGTGTTCTGGGGAAAATACTCTCTTATTATTTTTGTTGACAGTGCGGATTTAAAATTACAATATTGATCATCCAACTTTTATTCCCAAAAATTATAGTTATGTATTATTATTATTATTTTTACATTTAATAAGTATAAAAAAATTGCACTAGTAATTTCAACTGATCTGCACATCGTAATGAAGCAATTTTTCATTATAATGCATAAAAAAACAATAAATACATAAAAAGTCATGCAGGAGGATCGGTTACGATTTTGAATCTTTGAAATTTTGTTTATTTAGTGGCCAGAGATTCAAAATATGTAAGAGTTTTTTTCGGCATCGGGGACAAACTTTTTCTTCGTTAAAGATAGGTGTGAATAGGTTATACCTATCAAACAAGAAGGGGGTCCTTTATGTTTATGTTTTTATTAATTCTTAAAATTTAAATCAAATCTATACTTTATATATACCAATCGATTCGTCTTGATGTAAGGAAGAAGGAAGACGATTAAATTATATATTAGCTTAAATTTTTCTATTTAAAAATTTTTTCAATAAAAGAAATTTTTTGGAAATAAGACGATAAAATTTTTTTTGGGGTATTTTTAAAAATTCTCTCGTCATTTTTTAGAGATTAATGTGATAAATAAGCCTACCAATTTTTATCCAAATCCATTAAAACCTGTTAAAGATATCATGTTCACAAAAACGATCCACACATACACACATACATCCGGAGAATTGATTAGGATCTCATATAACATGTTTCAATATAGAGGGAAATTTGTTTTCACCATGTTTAAAAATTTTATAAACGAACGGACTACAAAGCTTCCTTCACGAGGAAGCAATAGTTAAAAAGTTAAACAAATGACAAAATGGCGGACACTTTTTTAAAACACTGCATTTTTTGCCATATTTTTTCATGTTTGACTTCTTGTAAAAAATCTTAATTGTTAACAATTGTATCATATTAAAGGTATAACCCCAGCCGAATTTAGTTACCTTTAATTAGCTCCAAACCCAAAGTTGATTAGTCAAATAGTTTAGACGCTACAATGCCCACCAGTTTGAAAAATCTTGTTTCCAGAAAAACGGGTTTAAAGTTATGGGAACATATGGAGGCATTTTCATGTGTAATATTTGTCTACTCTAAAAAAATAAATTCAATTTGCCTAAAATTCGTTACTCGGGGGTTTTTGAGGTCGCTCCCTGTTGAAAATTCCTATGTGAGAACACATATGGGATCCCATCCAGGATCTCTTGTGAGTTCTTATGTGGGTTCCCATACAGGTTCACACATAAGATCCTGTATGAAAAGGTTCCTGGGATGAACTTGCGTGAGATCAAGCGCACGATCTTATGTCTCTGTAAAAGCAATAACACAGGATCCCATGAGGTTTCCTGTGTAGGTTCCTATATGAACAACACGATAAATAGGAACACACATGGGATCTTATCCGAGATCTTGTATGAGTTCTTACATAGGTTCTCACATATAAGAAGATTAATAGCATATATATAAAAGCATTCTATAAAATCTTATTAAGCTGCTATTAATCTTCTTATATGTGAGAACCTATGTAAGAACTCATACAAGATCTCGGATAAGATCCCATGTGTGTTCCTATTTATCGTGTTGTTCATATAGGAACCTACACAGGAAACCTCATGGGATCCTGTGTTATTGCTTTTACAGAGACATAAGATCGTGCGCTTGATCTCACGCAAGTTCATCCCAGGAACCTTTTCATACAGGATCTTATGTGTGAACCTGTACGGGAACCCACATAAGAACTCACAAGAGATCCTGGATGGGATCCCATATGTGTTCTCACATAGGAATTTTCAACAGGGCTGATTACGAATATCATATGAGATTTTCAAAATTCAAAACAGCGGATCCAATATGGCAGACGACTTACCAACTCAGCGCTTCTCAGCTTCGCAACGTCGCGTCGATGGGTTCAAGACGCTGTAGAAACGAAAATATTCTTAGGATAAAAAAATCGCTTTATACACATATTCCACACATATATAGCTTTTAAAAATGGAATACAAAAATCGTTTTTTTTACTCCTGCAATGGGAACCTCCCCTTAAGGAGAAAAAAAAATACTGAAAACCCTGAAACACATATTTTTGGGGGTCTTTACCCCATTTTTTTCAAAAAATTTTTATCTGGCGCCTACGGATCTTACAGTGTACGATTTAAGGTTTTAATTTAGGCCTATATAGAAGTCTCTAGCACGTCAGGTTAAGAAGAAAAAATACTGAAAACACTTACCTTAAAATCACGGTTTTTGGGTATTTACCCACATTTTTATAAATTTCAAATTTTTTTTAATTTTGCATAATTAGGTCTTAAAGTGTACTATCTTAGCTTTATTTTAAGTCTATATAGAAGTGTCTAGCATGTCGGGTTAAGGAGAAAAAAATAATGAAAACCCTCAAAAATACTCTTTTTGGAGACTTTATCCCCTCCCTGGCGGATTGGGAAAACCGAGTTGTAACCGAATTGGGTTACGATTCGGTTACGATTCGGTTACGTTTCGGTTCATTGTGAAATAATATCGTTAATTGACGAAATATGTAGTAAATAACTATTAGTAATGGTTAATATACATTTAAAGAGCTTATTTATGCAATAATAATAATAAATTAAGATATAATTAATTAATAATAAGTGTTTTAAGTGTACAGTGCATACAGTTGTTGAATTACCATATACATATATGTATATTACCATTAGCGGCAGCTGTGATACGCGCGTTAAACCCTAGATGGCGTTAAGGATCACTTTTTCGAATGAATTTCTAAAATTAAGCCCTTGAGTGTCAAATGTGTAAGTGAATATATAAGTTTTAAAAAAATAGATCAATTTATTAAAACAACTTTTTTGATTTGTACAAATATAAAAAATAAATTTTTATAACGAACAAAAATTTTTTTAATGAGAAAAAGTTTTTTTCAAAATTAATCTTTTTTATTTTATTGAAGAAAAAGAAATTTTATTAAGAAAAAAATGTTTATTTTTGTTATTTGTTTAATTATTATTATTGTAATTATTATTTAAAATTATTTTTGTTATTTGTTTAATTATTATTTTTATTTTCATCAATAAAATGAGAAAGATTAATTTTGAAAAAAAATTTTTTCCAAAAAAATTTTTTATTCTTAAAATAATTTTTTTCCTCAATGAAATGAGAAACATTAATTTTGACATAAAAAAACTTTTTTCCCTAAAAAATTTTTTTTTTCTGAATAAAAAAATTTTTTTTCTCAATAAAATGAGAAAGAATAATTTTGACACAAAAAAAACTTTTTCTTATTAAAAAAATTTTTGTTCGTTATAAAAATTTATTTTTTATATTTGTACAAGTCAAAAAAGTTGTTATAATAAATTGATCTATTTTTTTAAAACTTATATATTCACTTACACATTTGACACTCAAGGGCTTAATTTTAGAAATTCATTCGAAAAAGTGATCCTTAACGCCATCTAGGGTTTAACGCGCGTATCACAGCTGCCGTTAATGGTAATATACATATATATGGTAATTCAACAACTGTATGCACTGTACACTTAAAATACTTATTATTAATTAATTATATTTTAATTTATTATTATTATTATTGCATAAATAAGCTCTCTAAATGTATAATAACCATTCCTAATAGTTATTTACTACATATTTCGTCGATTAACGATAATATTTCACAATGAACCGAAACGTAACCGAATCGTAACCGAATCGTAACCCAATTCGGTTACAACTCGGTTTTCACAATCCGCCAGGGCTCTTTACTTAAAAAGTCTTATTTTGTAGACCTGTGTTATTATTTTTCCTTAACAACGCTATGAACATTCAATCATGCTAACTATATTTTTCCGTAATCTGCACGTGAAAATACATGTGTGTATCAAATTTCAACCCTCTATGTCAAATGGTCTAGCCGCTAGGAGAGACACATTGCTGGGAAAGACACACGAGTCTTTCCATAAGGGTTTTCCATAAATGCCGTTTAAGAAGAATTTAATAACTATGTGTCAAAGCGAAAATTGTCTTTTTTCACAGGAACAATTGAGCACCTTGCTACAAGAACTAGACATTGATACGATATGGAGTGGGGACTTGGCCCGTGGAAATGAAAGCAGTCTCTAATAGAACTACGTGCGCACCTGATGTATATGGTAAAATATACCTATAGCTATGGACATCAGAGGATGCCCACACAGTCTTAACCCTTTCACTGTTAGAGAAAAAATTGATACTGTGGTCCCAAAATGTCCAACAAATTCTGGTTGACAAATTTTTATGAAACTTAGTATATAAGGGTTTTTGTGGTCTCTGAATTAAAAAAAAAGTTCGTGATTTTTACTTGTTTTTCAATAATTCATTAGTTAAAAATAATAAATAATTATTTAATTATTACTTAACCAAATTCATTGATACCTGTAGTGTGCGAATAATGATATAAAAGAATTTAATTTACAATTTAAATAAAAAATTTCCTTTACTTTGTGTTAATATGATCATGACACAACGTATGTGTCGCTGACAGTGAAGGGATTAAGCTATCACATCCAAAGGAGAGGCCAAGTCCTATTACTCATTCATGAATATATGTCTGAATCTTGCAGCAAGGTATTGTGTGCATTGCTTTTGTTACTCATCAGATATTGCCTCAAATTCAAATCATATGTTACTTTCATTTTTTAGTGTAGATTTCACCAATTGAGGAGCTGGATCAAAGAACCGACGCTTCGCTTGGACCGGACGCGCTAATACCAGACTGGTGGCAGTGGGCGCCTCTGGGCCACACACTCCCAATGGGAAATTGCCGAGTCACCAGTGGCGTATTAATTGGCCCAATGATGGGAGCCAATGAAAAGTCATTGACACCCAATAAAGGACCATAATTGGTAAAGTCATGGAATGTCCACGCCGATGCCAATGATTGGCAACCATCGTTGGCAAATTATTGGCAACCAATAATTAGCAAATATTAAAAATTTTAATAACAATTTAAAAAATCAATTATTTAAAAAATTTTTTTTTATTTTTATTATTTGTTAATAGTTAATATTATTATTATTATTTTATTTTTAATAATTAAATTAAAATAAAAAAATGGTCATCACAGTATTAGGGAAACCATTTCTTCCAAAAAAAAGTTTGTCTCACATCACCATAAATAGGAGAGACATCGTGCAGAAAAAAATTTCGACAAAAAAATTTTCGATCACTACTTATATACCAATCTAATGTCATCTTAACTGCGAGAAACAGTTATGATGTTCGCCTTCCCTGTGGCGTTGAGCGAAATAAAGTCCAGAGCGGAGCCATCAACGCAGCGCGGGAAAATTTGAAAAACTTGATTTTATTAGATATTTTATTTTATTTAAAATATGACAAATAATTAATTTAATAAATAATTATTAATAATATAATGTCATATTTAATAATTAGTTATATAATTTTTTCAACGAAAATTTGACAAAAAAATAATTTGTAACAAAAAAAATATTACCATAAAAAAAAATTATTTTTTTTTAAACTTTCGTAGTAAAAAAAATTTAAGTAACTAATAATTACGTTATTTAGTTAATTAATTTTTTTACAGAAAATATTTGACAAAAAAATTATTTCTCCTCGTGATTTTTTTTTAAGACACAAATAATTTTTGACAAAGAAAATTTGAAGAATAGTATATTATGTGGCAAGCACGTAAAGTAGCACTTTTTAAGTGAGGATGTAATTTTCAGTACGAGCTGTCGTTAGTGCGGCGTAGGTGAGACGAAGGCGAGCTGTAGGTGAAATGAAGACGAGCCGAAAGCGAGCCAAGTCGAACCGAAGTCGCACAGACAGCGAGTATTGAAATCATCCGAACCTAAAAATTACTACGTGCGAGCCACATACGCTATTTTTTTTGCCATTGTTATGAAAAAGTGAAACAATTTTAATATATATATATATATATATATATTATTACAAAAATTATGCAAAAATTAACAACTGCCTAAAAAAGACTTTATAGGGCAGTTTACTGCCTAAAAAAGACTTTATAGGGCAGTTTTCTGCCTAAAAAAGTCTTTTTTAGGCAGTTGGCCCAAACTGCTTTAAAAAGTGCTACTTTATCTGCCCAAAACAGGCACAAAAAAGACACTTTTTCATGTCAATGGCGAAAAAAAAATTTTTTTTTTATCGTGATATTTTTTTGTGCTACGAATAATTTTTTTGTTTAGTTTTCGTAGTAAAAAAATTAATTAACTATTAATTGCGTTATTTAGTTAATTAATTTTTTTACAGAGAAATTTCACAAAAAAAATTATTTTTTTATTGTGATATTTTTTTTTGCTACGAATAATATTTTGTTTAATTTTCGTAGTAAAAAAGTTAATTAACTATTAATTGCGTTATTTAGTTAATTAATTCTTTTAAGGAGAAATTTTGACACAAAAAATAATTTTTCATCGTGATATTTTTTTTAAGACACAAACAATTCTTTACAAAGAAAATTTGAAGAAAAAATTTTTTTTTGTTTGTGATATTTTTTTGTGTTACGAATAATTTTTTTGTTAAATTATCGTAACACAAAAAATAATTAACTAATGTGTAGGTACGTTATATAGTTAATTTTTTTGGAGAGAATATTTGACAAAATAATTTTTTTCTCATCGTGATATTTTTTTTAGGCCACAAATAATTTTCTTGAAAAAAATTTTCTATAGAAAAACTTAGACAAAAAAAATTTTTTTTTATGGTAATATTTTTTTTGTTACAAATTATTTTTTTGTCAAATTTTCGTTGAAAAAATTATATAACTAATTATTAAATATGACATTATATTATTAATAATTATTTATTAAATTAATTATTTGTCATATTTTAAATAAAATAAAATATCTAATAAAATCAAGTTTTTCAAATTTTCCCGCGCTGCGTTGATGGCTCCGCTCTGGACTTTATTTCGCTCAACGCCACAGGGAAGGCGAACATCATAACTGTTTCTCGCAGTTAAGATGACATTAGATTGGTATATAAGTAGTGATCGAAAATTTTTTTGTCGAAATTTTTTTCTGCACGATGTCTCTCCTATTTATGGTGATGTGAGACAAACTTTTTTTTGGAAGAAATGGTTTCCCTAATACTGTGATGACCATTTTTTTATTTTAATTTAATTATTAAAAATAAAATAATAATAATAATATTAACTATTAACAAATAATAAAAATAAAAAAAAATTTTTAAATAATTGATTTTTTAAATTGTTATTAAAATTTTTAATATTTGCTAATTATTGGTTGCCAATAATTTGCCAACGATGGTTGCCAATCATTGGCATCGGCGTGGACATTCCATGACTTTACCAATTATGGTCCATTATTGGGTGCCATTATGGAAATTATATTGGCATCCCTGGCTCCCATTATTGGGCCATTAATACGCCAATGGTATTTTTCCCATTGGGCTGCTACCCGACTGGTATTAGCGCGTCTGGTCCGAGCGAAGCGGCGGTTCTTCGATCCAGCTCCTCAATTGAAAATTGTCTTTGCCTTGAACAATCAAAATATTGTTTATCGTAAATTTTTAATTTACTAGATTCCTGACATACATTAAGATTAATTGATATTTTTATTATAAACAGAATGTGGGAAAACGTTTCAAGAAAACAGCGGAAGTTTCGGTTCTCCAAATCATCCAAACAGTTCTCCAATCCTGGATGGAGAACGTTGCGAATGGCGAATAACAGCAACACACGGAGAACGCATTGTTTTAAATATTTCTTCACTAGACATTTTTAAAAGTGATTACTGCCGTTCGGATTATTTAGAAATACGAGATGGTTATTGGCATAAGAGTCCGGTATTAGGTCTGTATATTTTTCTCAAAATTCCATACAAAAAACTTTAACTAGATAGATTGTAAGTTCTTTCTTCATTTTGGTTTTGATTATGTAATTATAATACATTTGCAAGAAAACATAAATAATGTGAAAATTTTTCATTTTAGAATTTCTGAAAAAGTGAATCCCTTTCTCATAGTGGGATTAAACTCACGCCCGCACTATTTGAGATCAAGTAGACGTAATTAAGAGGTTACGCCACCCTGAACGCAAAAAATGTTTACGGTTTTAATGGAACTTTTTTTAAGAAACTGTTAAAGATATACCTTCTTTATGCACGGAGAGACCCGAAGGAGTAATTTTTATAAAATGTAACACTATGTTTTACTATTTTGCTTTGCAGAGTCCGGAAATAAGGAACTTTTATTAAAATGTATTACAGTAATTGAGAATTTTGTTTATTTTAATAAGAATTTATCTATTTTAAAGTAGTAATTTTCAATATTTTGTGTAGGAAAATCATATAAAGGAAAAACTAGAATATGAGTCATCTAATTATAAAAGACAACTTTGTCTTTTTTATATTAAAGTATAATGTAATTTAAGAGGTTGTGTTTCGAAAGATACTTTTCCTTGTAGTAATCTTTAGTGAAACAACGAAGATTACTCGGCGCGAGTGTTTCTATTGGCTATTAATGTAATGTATTTAAATAGCATTTATTTAACATAATATGTGATACATGAGAAAGACAACTTTACTGTTTGAGACATGGTAAAGGAATGACTACGCATGTCATATAGAAGCACACACACACACATCCAATGAGGTCTCTAGTTACAAATGGTAATAAATTACTATATATCCCTATACATCACACTCCTCCGCACTTAGTTCAAAAGTCAAAGTTACAAATCAAGAACAACTCTCGGCTTCCTAATTCTCGATGATCGCCTCAAATTAATACAAGTTTCAGATTTATCATCATTAACAACTGTTTCATTAATAATAGATTTATTACAAACCCTTAACTTTTCAATATTTACTTTTTTAACAGGCAAATCTTTTTCTGACAACTCGATTATCTCTTTTGAATTCTCATTCGCAATTCTCCCATCAACATCGACAACCTTTTCCCCTCTCACATTTTCACTTTCCCACTCTTTCCTTTCAAGCGAAAGATTACATGGACGGAGCTGATCAACGTGACGTTTCCAGAGTCTATTATCCTCTGTTCTGACTTGATAAGTAACTGGACCCAATTGTTTCTCGATTTCAGATTTCTGCCAATTATCCGCCATATAATCTTTTGCTATCACAACTTCTTTATTATCAAATTGAATTGCTCGATTACCGTGAAAAAATTTCTTTTGTGCTTCCTGACTACGAATAACCCTTTCGCGAACTTCTGTTTTTAACAAATCAAATCTATTTCTAAATTTTCGATTACACTGAAGTTCAGCTGGAGTAACTCCCGTCGAACAATGTGGAGTTGAACGCCAATAAAAAAGATATTTAACTAACGCATCCTGACTATCTGTTTCCAATCTGAGCAATTCAAATTTACTCTTAAACGTTTTTACAGCATTTTCGGCAGCTCCATTAGAAGCTGGATGGTACGGCGGAGACTTGATATGGTGAATACCATTTTTCACTACAAAATCTCGAAAAGCAAACGACGTAAAAGTTGGACCATTATCAGTTACTAGTTTGAACGGTAAACCCCACGTACAAAAATACTCTTTAAAAACTCTGATTGTATTTTCTGCCGTGATATTCTTCATCAACTTTACATCGACCCATTTCGAATAAGCATCGACAATTATCAAAAACATTTCACCAGAAACCGGACCCAAAAAATCCGCGTGAATTCTGTGATTCGGGCCATTAGGCCATTCCCAAGAATGCAAATCTGCTCTCGGTGGGTTATTTGCATTTTTTAAACACATTTCGCACGATTTACTAATCAATTCAATATCTTTATCAATACTCGGCCACCAAATGTAAGATCTCGCTAATCCCTTCATACGAACAACCCCCATGTGAGCACTGTGTAATTCCGCGAGCAATTCTTTTCTCAACGATTTCGGTATTACAATTCGATGTCCCCACATTATGCATCCATTTTCAATTGTCAATTCCCTACTTTTATTCGCGAAATTTTTTAAATCATCCGAAACTTTGCCTGGCCATCCCTCCAGTATAAAACGTTTTACTGTCTTTAATTCACAGTCATTTTCAGTTTCATCGCGAAGAACGTCAATTGAAATTACTTTAACATCATTAGTCACGTAATTCAAATAAGAATATTCATTGCTTTCATTGTCAATTTCTTTTTTGTCATTATTAACCGGAAAGCGGGACAGGCAATCAGCTTGATTATTTTTTCCCTCGATATATTTAATTTTATAATTATATCCCGATAAAAATATTGCCCAGCGCTGAACGCGCGATGCCGCCATTAGCGGAATTCCCTTTTTATCGCCGAAAATATAAATCAAAGGCTTATGGTCAGTCTCTAATGTGAACAATCTGCCATAAACAAATTGATGAAAGGATTTAACCCCAAACACCAACGACAGTGCTTCGCGATCCAACTGAGAATATCCCGTCTCAGCTTTATTCAACGTCGAGGAAGCAAACGCAATCGGTCTATCCCTTCCATTCACGACGTGCGACAAAATTGCCCCCACCCCATGTGGTGAAGCGTCAGTCGTAATTTTCAAAGGTAACTCAGGATCGTATTGCATGAGAACCTCACTAGACGTTAACTTTTCTTTAATTGCTAAAAAAGATTTTTCACATTCGTCCGACCAATCCCATTTTACCCCTTTTTTTAATAATCTATACAACGGGCTTAATGTTTCCGAAAATCCGCGAATGAATTTCGCGTGATAATTTACGGATCCCAAAAAGACCTGCAACTCTTTAACTTTAGTTGGCCTCGGAATTTTCATTATAGCTTCAATTTTACTTTCTGCTACTTTAATTCCCTTTGCCGACAATTCATACCCGAGAAACACTATCTTTTCTTTAGCTAATTCGCATTTCGAAATCTCAAGCTTTAATCCGTGATCTTTAAAAATTTGTAAGACCTTTTTTAATCTTTCATCGTGTTCCTCGAAAGATGATCCTGTAATCAAGATATCATCAAAAAACACCAATACCCCTTCAATACCAGCGAACAATTTTTCCATTTCCCTTTGAAAAATTCCTGGTGCCGACGCGATACCGAATGTTAACCGTTTAAATGCAAATAACCCCCTATGAGTACTAATAGTAGTCAATTTTTGCGATTCCTCGCTCAACTCAAGTTGCTGATAAGCGTTTGACATGTCCAATTTACTAAATATGACACTCGGTTTTAATTCAACAAACAAATCCTGAATTCTCGGAACAGGATGTCGATCAATTTTCAAATTCGGATTTACAGTAATTTTATAATCTCCACAAATTCTTATATCGCCATTTTTCTTAAGAATTGGAACTATCGGTGTAGCCCACTCACAACTTTTCACCGGATAAATTACATTAGCCGCTTCGAGTCTATTTAATTCCTTATCAATTTTTCCTTTCAGTGCGTACGGAGCTGGGCGGGGCCTGCAAAAAACCGGTTTGACATCGTCTTTCAATTCAAGATCAAATTTTCCCTTATTAAATAAACCAATTTCATTTGAAAAAACGACATCAAATTGTTTTAAAACTTTTTCTAGATTGGACCTTTCATAAAATTCCATTTTATTAATTTTTTTAGTTTCCGAATTCTGAAAAATGTCAAAAGTCGAAATCCAATCTCGTCCAATAATTGGCAAACCCCCTCCAGGCAAAATAAACAATTCCAAAGCTTTACAATCATTATTAAAATCCACTTTGACATTAACTTTTCCAATTGGAATAATTGGATCCCCTGCATAACTCTGGAATTTTCGATTCGTTTTTTCTAACTCGCACTTCAAACCCGAATTTGCAAAAAATTCCTTAGAAAAAGCGGTGACTGGCGACCCTGTGTCGATTTCAAAATTAAATTCCGAATCTTCAACTTTCATTACAATCTCGTACGGTTTTACATAATTGACCTTTTCAATATTTACATCGTTAATTGCCCATAACTTTTCAAAATCCCCGGACAAATCACAATCTTCAAGATAATTTTGTTTAGACTTTAACCTAACTTTTTCTTTACCGTCATTTTTATTTTTATCTTTAAAATCTTTAACCGAGTCACCCTTAAATTTACAAACCGCTTCCAAATGACCTTTTTTCTTACAAACATTACAAGAAAATGATTTGAAACGACATTCAGACGAAAAATGATTTAACTTGCCACAACAAAAACACTTAAAATTACTTACATTCTTTTTCGACGACTTATTGCTATTACCATTTGAAGACCTCTTGTTGTTGTTGTTGACATAGTTGACCTTCTCAGGATCACCCATTGTTTCCTGCTTTGAACCTGAAGTTCCTCTGCTAGCTATTTCGAACGTAATTGCCAGTTCGACAGCTTTCTCAAAAGTTAATTCCTTCTCACGAAGCAATCTTTTCTGCAATGATTCCATGTACAGCCCCCACACGAATTGGTCCCGCATAGCCTCACTCTGACTTGCTCCAAAATTACAATGGATTGACGATTTTTTTAAGTTCTCGACAAATGACCTGATGTCCTCGCCTTGACCTTGATTACACTTTTTGAATTTGAACCTTTCCAGCATGATGTTAGGTTCTGGTTCCATATGATTTTTCATAAGAATCGCCAAATCTGCATACGTTTTTGCACTTGGTAACTCAGGTGAACAAACACTTCTTAGAATGGAGTATCCCTCACTGCCAATTAAGGTAAGGAAAAGAGCTGCTTTCCTATCATCTTTTACGTTGTTGGCCAGGAAATACTGCTCCAGACGCTCGTGCCACATGGTCCAATTCTCACTTCGTGAATATTCATTAATAGAGCCAATGGTCGACGCCATTTTTCTTTTTTCTTCTTCAAACAAAAGTTGATTTTGATTCAACAATTGACCCTCTCTATTAA